CTCCAAAGCCAGTACGCTAACTGCTGGTCCCTATTTTATTTATTTTTATTATTTTTTAATTTGACCAGAGTGAAAGAGAGGGAAAGTGAGAAAACAAGCTGCCAAATCCGGGACTCAGACTTGACCATGTGGGAATCTAGCAGCTTAAACATCACACCACGTGCCAGCCCTATTTTTTAATAGTTTTTTTGCTCTGGGGTGTGTGTGTTCACCCAAGAGACAGAGACAGAGAGACAGAAAGTGAGAAATCAACCCATAGGTGAGATGACCATGCCACAATCCTCTCTCCATTTTTCTCAGGATTTTGGGCATGCACGCACATGCGCCCAGCATGAGTTTTTTTCAAGCTTCTGGGTCTGGGATTCAAATCCCGGTGGACTACATGGGAGTCAAGCAATGTAACTATTACACCATCTGCTGCTCCCTTAAAATTTATTTTTATTGGACCAGCAAATGGCGCAGAGGTTAAAGTGGCTGGATCCCACATGGCTGGTGAGAAATAGACCAGGCGTGAGGGACCAGCAGTTAGCATAATGGCTATGTCGCTGGACTCCCACATAGTCGACCGCGGTTCGTGTCCCGGACCCGGTGGCTTAAAACTCACGCTGGGCGCGTGTGCGTGCGTGCCCAAGATCCCGAGAGGAGAACGGAGGAGAAGGGATTGTGGTGTGGCCATCCCCCCCGGGGGGTGATTTCTCGCTTTCTGTCTCTCTGTCTGGCGAGTGCACGTGCCCTATAGCGAAAAACCTCTCCACAAAAAAAGAAATAGACAAGGCATATGTGGATATATGCCCAAAATCCTGAATGGAGAATGGAGGAGAAGGGACTGCAGTGTGGGGTGATTTCTCACACTCTGTTTCTGATAAGCTCATCACCCTATAGTAGAAACTGAAAAAAAAAATTTTTTTTTTTTTAATTTGTCAGAGAGCATGTATGCTTGCAGTAGAGAGACAGAGAGAGGAGAAGGGAGAAAGCAAAATCATGCCCCATTGAGGTGTGGTCATGACACAATCCATTGGGATTTGGGGCACACATGTATATGTGCCCGCCATGTTTCTCAGACTGCCATGGCTGTGACTCAAACTATGGTTGGCCATGTGCGATCTGGTTTCCATTAGCCACTGGGTTATGGGGCTAGCCAAATGTGATTTTTTTTTTTTTCCTAAAATGTGATCTTTTAAAAGTAAAGCTCTCGGGGCCATCAGGTCGTGTAGTAGTTAAGGGCGCTGAGACTCCCAGTCTCAGACCTGGTGGCTTGCTTTCTCACTTTCTCTCTGATCAAAATTAAAATAAATAAACAAAGTTAAATAAAAATTTAAAAGAAAAACTTTGTTTAAAAAAAAGTAAAGCTCTCATGCTGTCAATTTTTTCCATACCCTTTTAGAAGTCCCTGTTTCTTACGGGATAAAACCCAGTTTTCTCACCCCTATCCAGCATGATCTAGATTCTCCTCCATCTTCTGCCATTTTCTCATAAACCAGCACTCCCTTTTTTGGGCTGATGGTAGAATTACACTGTACCTGCCAGCTTCATAGCTCTTCTTAGTGCCTTCAGTTTGAATACTTTGCCCCCTCCTCTGCGGTAATGTTTTGCACAGCCTTCAAGACCCAATTTCAGTCCCCTTCCTTTCTCTAGGCAGGATCAGCTTGTCCATACCGTGGCCTCCCATAGCGCTCCTTGCTATCACATCTGTAGTGTGTGATTGTCCCTGTGCACATCTGTCAGCCTCTTCAAACTAGATGCTCCTTGGGGACAGGAGCAATCATGATTTATCTCTGGGTCCCCAGAGCCCAGCATAGCCTTGGCCCCATGAAGCCTTGCTGAAGGAAGGAATGCATGAAAGGCTTTCTCTGCTTTCTTATATTTTAATGATCCAACTTGAATGTCTCCCCTCCCTCTCCTGGCCCACACAGGGCTTGATAGTTCCCTCTGTCATAGCCTTTCTCATGCTCACTATTGGCATCTCTGATGTCACCATTAAACCATGACCAGATCTGATACATATGTGTCCCCAGCACTCACAGTGGGTAGGCATACAGGAGAAATTATTGTTGATGTATCCTCTGACTTTATCATACTCTTTTTTAAAAACCAGTAGTTTGAGTTGCTGCCAAGCACTGCATAGGCATCAGCTCGCTTCATCTATGCAGCAGCCTTATTTTAGAGATGAGGAAACTGGGCCTCAGAGAGTGAGAATAACAAGGTCCCACAGCTAATAAATAGCAGGACCAGAACTTGAACTGGGTCAGTGTGACTTCAAAGTTGAGCCCCTAGTTGGCTGGCTTCCTTGTGCTCCTCTGCCACTCTCCGACTGTGTGACTTGGGGCACATGACTTTGATTTTCAGGACTTGACTTTTGGCTCCTATAAATGGGGGCTAATCCTGTTTCAAAGAGAAGTCAGGCAGTTCATTGGCATACTGCACCTAAAGCATTGAGTTCATTCTGGCAATGGGTCACTCTTCATCAGCAAAGGGCCTTTGCAGTTGGTACTTTGAGGGTTGAGATGGGCAGTGTGAGCTGGGGGCAGAAATACCCTTTGATTAAGCCCATTCTATGTGTTGAGTACTTTGGGGCACTTTCTAGCAGTATTTATTAATAGTTGCTCTTGGGGCTATCAGGTAGAGTGATGGTTGGGGTACTGGACTCCCACATGGCTGACCATGGTTCGAGTCCTAAACCTAGCAGCTTGATTTCTTGCTTTCTCTTTCTCTCTCTATCTGGTCAAATTAAAAGAAAAATAATAATAACAAGTAAAATTGGATAAATCTTATTTTTTAAAGAATTGTACATTTAATTTTATTTATTCATTTGAATTTGACCAGAGAGAGAGTGGAAAAGTGAGAAAGCAAGCCACCAGGTTTAGAACTCGAACCACGGTTGGCCATTTGGAAGTGTCCAGCACCTTAACCTCTACACCACCCACTGGCCTCAGGATAAATAATTCTTTGAAAAAATTGCTTCTGAGACCACCAGATGGCATAATGGTTTCATCACTGGACTCCCACGTAATCAATCACAGTTTTGAGTCCCAGACGTAGCAACTTAAAACTCGTGCTGGGTGCATGTTTGTGCATGCCCAAGATGCCAAGAGGAGAAGGGATTGCAGCATGGCCGTCCCCTCTTGCGGGGGAGAGGAGGGATGATTTCTTGCTTTCTGTCTCTCTGTGTGTCTCTGGTGAGTACACGCACCCTATAGCAAAAATCTCTCTCTCAAAAAAAAAAAAAAAGTTCCTCCTCACAACAGCAGCCGTGATGAGATGAGGCAGGAATTGGACTCACAAGGTGCATGACTTGCCAACAGTCACCCATAGGGTGACACCCAATAAATCTGTTTACAGAATGTGTTGTCCGGGTATTCCACAATATTCAGGAATTACTCTTAAATCTGAAGTATTCTCTGGTGAAATCAGATGATTCTCGGTGCTGGGTCTGTGGGAGTTAATCACATGCATTTCTCTACTTGTGTCTGTTTTCGAAATTTTCTGTAATAAAACTTAAAGACTTGAATGAATATTAAGGAAGAAAAAGCAAAAGTTAGAACTCAATAGATTTTAGGACCAGGCAGTTCTGGGTTTATTTAAGTCCTACCTATGTGATCTTGAATTGATATCTCCTGTCCAAGGCTCTATCTCTGTCTACAAATTTTAGAGACTTATCTCTCACATCTCAAGGTTCAGTAAGCTGAGAAGAGGCTTAGTTTTGACAAGCCCTGGCACTTTGAGGACTGTGGGGGTCCTTGAGTGAGCTCCTAGACTCCCTGAGTAACGCATAGTATGTGCATTTCAGGAATTTGTGACCCTCAAGGACGTGGCCATGGACTTCACCATGGAGGAGTGGGAGCAGCTGGGGTTGGAACAGGGAGACCTGTTCTGGGACACAGCACTGGACAACTACCAGGACCTCTTCCTTTTTTTTCTCCCCTGCCCTGCTTGGTGATCATTATACCTTTCATGTGCAGAATGAGATCCTGGCTCCTGAGCACCTCAGAATCAGTGTAGACCAAGCCTAGCAGTTCTTAGCTGGCTAACTGCACCTCAGGGGACATTGGCAATATCTGAAGTCCTTCTTGGTGATCACCACTTGGGACTGCAGGTGCTTCAAGCATCTAGTGAGGGGAACCCAGGGAGCCAGCCGCCAGCTTTTTTTTTTTTTCTTCTTTTTTTAAGATTTTTGCTATAGGGTATGCGCACTCGCCAGAGAGACAGAGACAAATCCTCTCAGGATTTTGGGCATGTGCACAAACACGCACCCAGCGTGAGTTTCAAGCCATAAAGTCCAGGACTTAAACTATTGTCAACTACGTGCAAGTCCAGCAATGTAACCATTACTCCATCTACTAGTCCCCACTAGCTTTTATTTATTTATTTTTCAAGTTACTTTTATACCTTCCCTTCCTTCCATGAGGAAGAGAGAGAAAGGAAGGAAAGGAAAGAGACAGCATCCCCAACAGGATCCCAGTGCTATGATCTACCCTTAGTCTTAGATAGCCCTGGATCATGAGCACATGCATACCCTGTGTACTTAGGGAGGTATCCAGATGCAAACCCAGAACATCCCCTGTGGATCAACCTTGTAGAGCATGGTATTTTACCCCTGTGCAACATACTTATAATGCACAGGACAGCCCCCATGACCAAAACCCCCCATGTTGTTCACTAAGAAAGCTCATCAGAGACTCAGAGCTGGGGTTGTTTTGGGTACTGATGTCGTGGCCCCCTCTGTCTGGCACATCCAGACATTCCAGTCTCCCAGAGGAAAGCACATGTTCAGCATAAACCACATCACCTCTTAACAGTTCTGGGGATGCTGGGAACCTTCCCCAAATCCAGCCCTGCTAACATTCCCTTCTCAACTGAGTGATCAGACTGCCATGTTCATATTCTACATAGCAAGCAAGGCCTTTTTACCTTCAATGCCAGCAATGGCTTTTCTTGTACTGTAGCATGTCTCTTCCAGATTATGATTCTATGTTCACTTACTCCAGGAAGTTTGTGAGGGCAGGACCCAGGGCTTGGGCTTTGGGACCCTGAAATCGTCCCTTATAGGACCTGCCTACATAGGCTTTGGGTTAGGTGTGGCCTGTGCATGAATGAGTGAATCTTTAATAGCTGGGTAATAAGTATAATATGTGCCTCTCTACTTGGTAGTTTCTGCTTGTCCTTTAAGAGCTGTCACAAGTCCTTCATGCCCCTAGCCCCAGGTGTCACAGCTCTGATCACCCTAGATTGTGACTGTCTGGTCCCTCTATTCCACTGGAGTAAGAACCCTACAGGGCACATGTTCCTGAAGTCACCCAGCACAGAATCTGGCCCACAGGAGCTGTGTGCTAGATAAAGCTTCAAAAAAATCAGAAGAGCTGGAATAATAATAATAATAATAATAATAATCGGGAAAAACAATGAAAAGATATTGAATGATGAAGTAGGGATTTTAATGTCTCTGTATTTACTGATATGCATGGCATTCCTTTTTGAAAAAGCAATGTAATAAACTGTAAAGTTATATGTGATTCAATGTAATATAAACAAGATTATCATGATAATAAAAAAAAAAATCAGAAGAGCTAGAGTTTCTCCTGGGTATCAGCACCCCCCCCACCAACCCCGACTCCATTTCCTGGTTGATGACAATGTTATTCTGTCTCTGCAGACTCCCCAAGGCCCAACTCAACCTGGCTCCTAGATGGCAGAGAAGAACTAGAGGACCTGGTGAGAGGAAGCCCAGAAGAAACAGGCCCTGGTAAATGGATGGGGAGGGGCCCTTTGTGTACCATGTGTCCTTAGAACCTCTATCCAGAGACTGCAGCCAGCTCCCAGCAGATCTTCCCAGATATCTTGACTCCTGGATATGGTCTTCATTCCTGGGTGATTTGGGAGGACCCTTACTCTGATATGTTTTCCATGTAAACATCTACTTCAGCCTTCAACACAGGACTGCCTTTATGCCTCACTGTCTTCAGCGAAGGGGAACCCTTCACTCCTTGAGTTGGTCATTTCACCTTCCTGCCTTGTACCCCCTGAGTGTGTAGACCCCTTGGTCTGACTCTTCTGCCTATTTGTACAGGTCTGTTTCTCTTTCCTGGCCCCAGCGCACAGCTGATGGCTACTTCTGACAGTAACTCAAGCCCAGGCCTGACTGGTACCAAGAGCTTCAGCTCTGCCATCTCCCAGGCCAGGGTTCCTCCAGATGGATCAGGTTAGGTGGTGGGGATTCCTAAGGTATGACCCTTACTGGAGACATCCCTGGTGGGAAAAAGTATAGGCAGGTGCTTTTGTGTAGGCACGGGTGGCTTCTCTCCTTACTTTATTAGCATGAGAAGGAGAGCCCTGGCCCAGAGCCCACAGGAGTCTCAGACTCTACCCAGTTAGTTTACGGCTCTATTATTGGCTTACCACCCATGAGCTCATGCACATAGCCCCTGCAGCATCCTGTTAATCATACCAGTGTTTTGTGTAGGTGACAGCCCAGGCACGGACTACTGTAACCTCTGCTTTCTTTTTCTGCCACCTCAACCTGTAGACTATTTTCAGACATAGGCAGGTGTGCCTTACTACCTACCAGATGAGTGTTTGTGTGTGTGTGTGTAGTGTTGCATTATCATGTATATTTCTTTTCTCCCTTTAACTGCACTTCTTTAGGAAGTAGACCTTAGCTGGTTAATCTGTGAATTCCCAGCTCCCAACACCATGCTCGGCTCTTGGTTACATGGCTCTTGTTACATCCCAAGCAGGGAAATAGTGTAAGCCAAAGTTTGGTGAGAGAAATGAGCCAGGTGGCTGGGGGAATCAGAGCAGCAGCAAAGGTGACAATTTAGGGCAAGGCATGGATTTGGAAAGCTTTCTTTTGCAAGTTTCAGTTGAGTCCAAGAAACATCGAACAGTGTCAGAGATTCAGTGGGTGGTGAGCCAAGAAATTGCAGGAAGAGAAGCTTAAAAGTGTGATTAAAAGTGCAAGATGGAGAGGAGGACTAGATTCCTGGAGCAGAGCAATGAAATGTGTGTTTTAAGAAGGGCCCCAGAGAGCATATAGCTTAGTAGCTGAAAGCATGGGGTCAGATAACCTCAAATTGTTGCTTCACTACTTAACCGTAAGTGAGAAGTTTGCCTGCTGTGTAGAGTGCTGCAGGGAGCAACTGAATGCACCTGTGGTGTTCTTGCCAGAACACCATGTATGAGGATTATTCCATCCTATGAGCATTTTCTGTGGCCACAGAAAATCTCTGGCAGGTCCAGGCACTGAAGACACAGATGAGCAAAGGAAAGTCTCCTTTAAGGGCTTGCCATCTGATCAGAAGTCAGTCCCTTTTATAAAAAGAGTCTTGGTTACTACAGAGAGTGGTATGCACTTGACTGTTGTTCTGAGACTACAGGCAGGACACTTAAAGCAGAATAGGGTATGGGTTGGTCAGGAAAGGTGTGATACTCAATCTAGGTATTTAGGACATAGGAATGAATCTAGCATAATGGACCAGGAAATGCACAGAGGAGAATATCTGGTAAGTTCAAGGAACTGCAAGAGTTCTATGAGTCTGGATAAAGAACTGAGTGAAGGGAACCAGCAGTTAGCGTAATGGCTGTGTTGCTGGACTCCCACGTAGTCAACTGCGGTTTGCGTCCCGGACCCGGTGGCTTAAAACTCACGCCGGGCGCATGTGCGTACGTGCCCAAGATCCTGAGAGGAGAATGGAGGAGAAGGGATTGCGGCGTGACCATCCCCCCTGGGGGGTGATTTCTCGCTTTCTGTCTCTATGTCTCTGTCTGTCTGGCGAGCGCATGGGCCCTATAGCAAAAATCTCTCAAAAAAAAAAAAAAAAAAAAAAAAGAACTGAGTGAATATCCTTGCATTTCTCTTTTCCAGGCAAGAAACCATAGAAGAATATAGTCAAGGAAGTGGTGTAGTCAGTTCTGTTTGTTACAGAACTCCTCAGGGATGGTGTAGAGAGAGGGATTGAAGGCCATCAAGGAGCCTTGGGCCAGGTAGGAGCTGCTAATAGTGAGAGGAAGGGAGTTCAAACATTTTGAAGATCTGACAGAAAGCAATACCTGAGTGAATGACTCCTAGGGCTCTAATGTGGAAGACTGGATGGATGACAGTGGGGTTCTCTAGGATAGAGAGACAAGATTTTGGTGACAGCACAGGAATAGAGGGAGGAGAGGACGGAGGTAATTCTGGGAGACTTTTTAGAAAGCTTGGTCAGTCATAGAGGTATGAGGATAATGATAGAGGCTCTTGCTTATTAAACCCCTGAGGTACCCTAGATCCCCCTTTGACCCTCCTGGGAATAGGTTTTTTTGTTTTCTGTGATGCCAGTTCCAGACAGATCTCTATTTTGGGGCCCTTCTCCTTTGTCATCTTGACAAAACTCCCTCTTGTTCATGTTTTACTCCATAGCTTCTGTCTCTTCCCCTGGAGGAATGGGGAACATTTTCACTTTCCCTTTCTTTCAGACATGGCTGAGACTAGGAACTCTCCTCTGATGGAAAATTTCTTGGAAGAAGAACCTCCCCAGGAGATACTAGAGACATTTTCCAAGGATGGTTTCTGGGACTCTCATTTTGAAGCCTGTGTAGATGAGAGCTGGTTAGATAGTTTGCTAGGAGATCCAGAAAGTCTTCCAAGAGCTGACATTGTCACCAACAAGGAAAGTCCCACAGAATGCATGAGTCGTGAATCTGAGAGAGACCTCAGCCCTGGGTCCCTCCTTTCCACAGGAGAGGACTGTGTGATGCATGACCTTCCGAAAAAGAGCCTCACACCAGCCAAGTCTAAGGAAAATCAGAGTGATTTTGGCTACTACTCAGACCAGAGCCAGCAAGATTCCATCCAGGGTGAGGAGAAACTGTATAAATGTAGTGAATGTGGGAAAAGCTTCAGCCGGAGCTACCATCTTATCCAGCACTGGATTATTCATACTAGGGAAAAACCCACTGTGCATCAAGACTGTGAGAGAAGTTTCAACCTTTTTGTGCATCCTCTGACTCACAGAGGCTGCCAATCATATGTATGTAATGAATGTGGAAAAACGTTTAGTCAAAATGCACACCTTCTATGGCATCAGAAAATTCACACTGAAGAAAAATTACTATGTAAAAGTCTAGATGGTGATCATCCTTCCAGTCAGGGCACACAGCCTGTTAAGTGTCAGAAAATTCGCATAGGTGGTAAATTCTTCAAATGTAATGAATGCGGCAAGGCTTTCAGCCGGCCCTTTCATCTTACTCGGCACCAGAAGACCCACACTAAGAAACTCTATGAATGTGCCAAGTGTCAAGTGACCTTCAATTTACATAAACACCTCGTCCAACATCAGAAGACTCATACCACAAAAACTACCTCTGAGTGCCAAGAGTGTGGGAAGGCCTTCACACGGAACTCTGCTCTCCTTGAACACCAGGCTGTACACACTGGAGAGAAGCCTTTTAAGTGTAATGAATGTGGGAAACCCTTCAGCCATACTTCTACCTTAAAGATCCACCAAAGGGTTCACAGTGGAGAGAAGCCATACAAATGCAGTGACTGTGGGAAAGCCTTCTGCCGGAATACTCACTTAAGTGAGCACCAGCGGATTCATACAGGTTACAGACCCCACAAATGTCAGGAATGTGTCAAGAGCTTCAACCGACCCTCACACTTGCTTCGCCATCTGTCCACTCATGCCACAGAGAAGGCCTATAGCTGTACTGAATGCAAGGAAACCTTCAGCAATAATGAAGATTTTTTGCAACACCAGAAAACTCACACAGTTGAAACCCCTTATGTATGTCAGAAGTGTGGAGAGCGCTTCATTTGCAGCTCAACCCTAAATTGCCACCAGAGTGTTCACACCAGAGAACAGGGACTTGATGCAAGTAGGAAGGTCTTAGATCAGAACCCAGAACAGAGAGAGCCACTGAGGCTTGATGAAAAGTGTTTTAAGTGTAGTAAATGTGGGAAGACATTTAGCCACAGCAAGTACCTAACTCAGCATGAGAGAATTCACACCAGAGTAAAGTCCTTTGAGTCTGACCAGTTTGAGAAAACCCTTGGCCAAAGCATGGAGCTCATTCATCAGAGAATCCACTCTGGGGTAAAACCACATGAATGTGGTGAGACTGAGAAAGCCTTCATCCACAGCACCTCCCTTACCAATCATCCATATTTGCACTCTAGTGAACACCCATTTAAATGTAATGAATGTGGAAAGACCTTCAGCCAAAGTGCTTACCTCTCAAAACATCAGTTAATTCACACTGCAGAGAAACCCATTAAATGTGACAAGTATGACAAAGTCTTCATGCAGCATCAGAGAACTCATGATGGAAAGAGGCTCTTTGAGTGTAATGTCTGTGGGAAAACATTCCGGCAGAGCTCTTGCCTTTCTAAACACCAGAGAGTTCACACTGGAGAGAAGCCCTATGAATGCCACGAATGTGGGAAAGCCTTCAGCCAGGGTGCTCAACTCATTCGACACCAGCGAGTTCATACTGGAGAAAAGCCTTATGTTTGTCAAGAATGTGGGAAAGCCTTCAGCCAGAACTCATGCCTTTCTATTCACCGGAGAGTTCACACTGGGGAGAAACCCTACGTGTGTGGCCAATGTGGAAAAGCTTTTGTCCAAAAAGCAAATCTAACACAGCATGAGCGAATTCACACTGGAGAGAAGCCTTACCTCTGTAATGTGTGTGGTAAAGCATTTGGCCTCAATGCTCATCTCAGTCAGCACCAGAGAATTCACACCCAGGAGAAACCTTACCAGTGTCAACACTGTCAGAAATCCTTCAGGTGTTTCTCAAGTCTCAACAGACATCAACAAGTTCATACTCAAAAATTAAAAGCAGAAGTACTACCTGCGGCCACTGGGAAGCAGCAGAGCCCAGACAACTGAAACTTGTCTGAAATGGGCAGGTGAAACTATTACATTGCAAACCCACCCCCACATCCTACCTGCCACCACATATATACATCTCTTTTTTAATAAAGATTTACTAGGTTTACATACAAGTTTCATTAAAACAATGAAAGTGCAAACATTGAGAAGCTCTATTAACATCAGGATTCAGAGGCAGACTCTGAAACCAGTCTGCCTGGGTTCATTCTCACCCCTGCCACATACTTCCTAAGTGACCTTGGGAAAGTCATGAACGCTCAGGGCCTCAGTGTCCTCATCTGTAAAATGGGCATGATAATAGTTACCTACCTCAGAGGGCTGTTATAAGGATTCACAAAACGAATGTAAAGCACCTAAAACTAATGCTCAGCGCATGAGTACTCAGTGTGAGACACATCAGATATAACACAAATCTACTCTTTTATATTAAAAGAAGAAAAGCATTAATGTTACTAATGTTCAGTTAATGTTCTTATTAATATGATACACAGATTTTAATTTAAGTTTTCCTTTTTAAAAACTTCTCTTCAGCACCCTACTCTTTTTAAATGTCTCACTTTTTTTTTTCCCCCACCATCTCTCTGGTCTGTCTTACTTTTTACTTAACTAGCCCACAAAAAGCCAAGAAGAGTATGTACCTTCAAATGATCAAAACTTCTAAACTCCCTAATTTCTCAGGATAGATTTACTCTCCCACCCACATATGCCTCTTTCTATAATCTTCCATTTAAAGCTGTTAGCTGTACAATATGAGACCCAGTTTGTCATGAAAATACTGAAAACAGCTGGATTCAGGAATGCTGCATTGAATGTTACCACACAAAACCCATATGGAAGACATACTTAGGGGTAAAAATTGTGTACAGGGGTGATTGCTGGAGTGTTTATCACTCACCATTTATGCAGACCATTCACTAGGTAACTTGCTAGGCTCAGACCAGGAATATCAATACAATAATCCCATCCTTGTCCTGAAGCTTCTGGAATCAGGGAAATAAATGACCCTGTTTTTATAGAGAAGTGCTATTGACAAGTATCTGAAAAATCCACATTCCCTCAGCACAGGAAGTTCAGGAATCACCATAGATTATTGGAGAGCCTATGAGGAAATGGTCCTTCCCACTGGAGCCCTCTGATCATCTTGGTCAAGCCTCTTCATCATCTGAGTCTCACAAAACCACAAGAGCAGCTCCGCCTTGATGGTGGTGCCTTATCAGCTCTGGGCTTAGGTGCCCTTTGCTAAGTGACCCAGGTGCACATTTACTAAAGCACAGCAATCTTAAAAAGAAGTCAGACACTGCATTTATGTCTTTTCTATTTGGAGTGCTGAAAATAGCTTGGGAGTAAAGTTTGTTCTACTCTCAGATTTTTTCAGCTTCACACCTTGAATTCTGTTGTTGGTTTTGTAGTTGAAACTGGTAATTTATTAGCTGACCATAGGGCCCATGCTACAGTGAGGAGGTTAACTGTTTGCCAAACGGTCCAAACACTTTAACTCCCTCCACTTAGTCTGTGCCCTCTGGAACTCTTGTCTAGTCTGGGAGATGAGTATGTTACATAGCAAAGGTGTGTACAACATGTTGCAGGGCAGGAACACAAATTGCTAAGTGTGTTCAGTGAATCTTAACATCAGAGATTGAGGACCTGGTGGGAAATTAGCCATGGGGGAGGGGGACCATTCAAACAATCTCTGTAATTAATTACTTGTGTCACCATGGGCCAGTGTAGAATTGTCCTCTGTGTATGTTGATTCATTCTGATTAAAGTTTTAAGTTTTAAAAGTAATGTTCTGAGTTTTAAAATTGCTGGTTCCTTCTCTCAACTTGGCGCCGTGCACCCAGTCAGAAGCTGGGACTGCATAGTCCCTGCCTCGCTACAGCGTGCACATTCTAGCAAGAAGGGCTTATAATGGTGAAGACCAGTCTATAAGTGGGGGCCATTAAGTCTGTTTTCTCAAAGTCTGAGTAGGTCACAATTTCAGCTAGTCCTCAGACACATTGTTAATGCCTTTCAATGCTTATGCAATCCTGCATAAACAAGGAAAAAAACCAGTACTTTCTAATTATAGATAGCAGCCTCAGGCTCAATAGTGTTTTGCTTTTGGGACCAGCAGTTAGTGTAATGGCTATGTCGCTGGACTCCCATGTAGTCGACCGCGGTTCGAGTCCCAGACCCAGTGGTTTAACCTCACGCCAGCCGCATGTGCGTGCGTGCCCAAGATCCCAAGAGGAGAATGGAGGAGAAGGGATTATGGCGTGACTATCCCCCCTGCGGGGTGATTTCTCGCTTTCTGTCTGTCTCTGTCTGTCTGGTGAGTGCATGCGCCCTATAGCAAAAACCTCTCAAAAAAAATAAATAAATAAAAAGAGTGTTTTGCTTTTTTTGAGAGTTTTGCTCTAGTGTGTTGGTGCTCCACAGAGAGACAGAAAACAAGAAATCACTCCCTAGGGGGATGGCTACACTGCAATCTCTTCTCCATTTATTTATTGGAATCTTTCCCACGCATGTGCCCAGCATGAGTTTAAGCCACTGGATCTGGTGGTCTTATTTTATTAATTGTCATTATTTTATTTATTTGTTTATCTGTCTATCTATCAAAGTTGACCAGAGAGAAGGAAAGAAAGCAAGCTGCCAGGTCCAGGACTTGAACCATGGCCAGTCATGTGAGAGTCCAGCCCCTCAAGTGTCTTAAATGAGCATTCAATAATATAATTTTGCTGGGACCAGCAGTTAGCGTAATGGCTATGTCGCTGGACTCCCATGTAGTTGACCGCAGTTCAAGTGCTGAACCCAGTGGCTTAAACTCACACCAGGTGCATGTGCATGCATGCCCAAGATCCCAAGAGGAGAAAGGAGGAGAAGGGATTGTGGCATGGCCATCCTCCCTGGGGGGTGATTTCTCACTTTCTGTCTCTCTGTCTCTCTCTGTCTTTCTGGTGAGCGCACACACCCTGTAGCAAAAACAAAAACAAACAAACAAACAAAAACCTCCAAAAAATACATATAATTTTGTTTTCAGGTATTTAATTATTTCCTTCACCTCCACCCCACTTTTTGTGACAAAGATAATTTTCTGCTTGTAATAGTGGTGTTGGGTTATCAGAAAAGTCACGATGCATTTCTGCATAGAAAAACAGGAAAATATGTCATGACTTTTCTGACAACTCAACAGAATGTTGTCTTTAAATTGCCTTAAGGTTGGGACCAGCAGATAGTGTAGTAGTTATGTTGCTGGACTCCCGCATGGCTATCGTTTGAGTCCTGGACCTGGCAGCTTGAAACTCAACGCCAGGCACATGTGCTTGCATGCCCAAAATCCTGAGAGGAGAGTGGAGGACAAGGGATTGTGGCATGGCCATCCCCCCTTGGAGGTGATTTCTTGCTTTCTGTCTGTCTGTCTCTGTCTCTCTGGCAAGTAAGTGCACACCGTATAGCATAAATCTCTCTTAAAATATATAATAAATTGACTTAAGGTTATTTTTGTGTGTTTTTAAAAAATTGTTTTATTTAACTTTACTTATTTGACCAGAAAGGGACAGCGAGAGAGAAAAGAGAGAGAAAGAGCAAGCCGCCAGGTTCATTGCTCAAACCATGGTCAGCCATGTGGGAGTGTCCAGCACCTTAACCACCATGCCACCTGCTGGTCTCTTTTTTTATGTGTTGTTGTTAAGGGGATTTTTAAAATTTTTATTTTTTAAATAACTATTTTATTTTATTTATTTATTTTATTTTAATTTGACCAGATAGGAACAGAGAGAGGGAAAGTGAGAAAGTAAGCTATCAGGTTTGGGACTTGAACCACAGTCAGCCATGTGGGAGTCCCACACCCTTAACCACCACACCACCTGCAGACCCCCCAGTTTTATTTATTTAATTCCACTTACTCTTTTGAGAGGGAGAGTTTTGCTATAGAGCACAGGTTCTTGCCAGAGAGAGAGTGAGAAATCACACCCCGGGGGGATGGCCATGCCACAATTCCTTCTCCTCCATTCTCTTGGGATCTTGGGCATGCATGCACATGTACCCAGCGTGAGTTTAAGCCACTGGGTCCAGGACTTGAACCGTGGTCAACTACATAGGAGTCCAGTGACAGCCATTACGCCATCTGTTGGTCCCCCCAATTATTTTTTTAATTTGACAAGTAACAGAGAAAGGGGAAGAGAAAGCAAGCCTCCAGGTCTGGGACTTGAACCATGCCTGCCCTTGTGGGAGTCTAGTGCTTTAACCACCAGACCACCTGCTGGCCCTTTTTAAGAGATATTTTTCCTGTCGGGTACGTGTGCTTACCCAAGAAAAGAGAAATCCCCCTGGTGCACATGCCACAACCCTTCTCCATTTTTCTCTTTCGGATTTTGGGTACGCACACACACATGCCTGGCGTGAGTTTTAAGCTGCTGCGTTGTGTACTCAAACCACGGTTGGCCCTGTGTGAGTCCAGCACTTTAACCACTATGCCACCTACTGACCCATATTTTTGTTTGGGGAAACTTAGTTAAGTAAGGCGCATTAATTTTTTTGAGCACCTGTGTGGGCCCAATACACCAGAACATCCCATCAGGCTATGTGCCAAAGCTAGCATCAGAGGGACTGGCAGCAGATCAGAATACAGCTTTAACAGAAATGGCAGAGGCTTCACCACAGGACCATGTATCCCGCATAATTATTGGCCTTTTTGCTCCTGATATGCCCCAGGTTAGAGGGACAGATTTGGGATCCCCCTGAGGACTTCAGAGTGGAGCAGTATGCTAGAACACAGTTTCTCCACCTCCTCACAACATTTTTGACAACAGATATGGGAGATGGGCTTCCTCACAATAAGTGATACTCTACCAGATACTACCTAGGTGTCTCTGGATTCAATTCTGACACTATCTATCTGAAAGTAGGATCAGAGCTCATAGGTGAAGGATTCAGTTCCACAAGACTGACCCATTTCAGGGGCTGGCAGGTGGTGCGGTGGTTAAAGGTGCTGGACTCTCACATGGCTGACTATGGTTTGAGTCCCTGATCTGGCAGCTTGCTTTCTCACTTTCTCTCTGTCTGTCTCCCTCTGGTCAAATTTAAATAAATAAATAAATAAATAAATAAA